GAATTATTACGGGGATTTCGCTGCATCGGAGTTCGAGAAACTTTAACTCGCTCCCAAGCTCGCTGAAAGTTACGAGTCAAGGTTAGCCGGTAAGACATTCACAAGTTATTCCATTCTCGGGGTAAAAAGAGCGGTTTGTTGCCAACTGACAGTTGAAACTGCAGCAACCAAAGATACCTTCGAGCAGCGGCGTAGCGTCGGGGGGGGGGGGGGGGGGGGGGGGGGGCACGTGCTCCCCCNGGGGGGGGGGGGGGGGGGGGGGGGGGGGGGGGGGGGGCACGTGCTCCCCCATTTTTCAAGGAAATAAGCAAGACAAAAAAGAAGGAAAAGACCCAGAAATGCATGATAGCGGTATCCCAGAGTTCCCGTAACCCCCCACCCACACACTTCTCCCTTTCATGCTACGTTTATGTATTCGAGAAATTGTTCGCGAATTTTACTTTCTCACCTCGGCAAAAAACGCACGTCCGTTAGCTCCGGCCACAGATTGCGGTTATTAGATCGATAAGAAATTCACTATACTTTGTGAGCTTTAGGCTATAGCCAAGGGAGCAAGAAAACTCTTCTTCCTCTATTCTTTACCTTTTCTTCATTCTTTCACACTTTTTTATTTATTGACTTACGCGGAATGGAATGAATACGAGATAACTCCTTGTTGGCCATCGATAGCTCTCACCCAAGTGCGAAACCCAAGTGGGCCTCCCGCATCACGAAAACCTACCGCCACGAATTATAAACCAAGACGTCGCGAGAGTCTCGTGAAAGAAATTGAGAAATCGATCGCATCTTTGATGTTCTGGGCAGCGAGGAATCTGGATCCTCGTGTCCAGGTCCACCGCGACTTGCTCAACTCCCGCGGCAAGAGGCAAAAAAAAAAAAAAAAAACGCGACAGGGGCTTTCACGTGATCATCATCAACATTTCAGCTTCACGACGCCCGAAAAAAAAGACCCATAAAAAACGTTCATGGCGACGCTTTAAAAGCGTCGCCATTTTTTTTAAGAAGGCTTAACCGCGATCTTAAACCACGGGTTTTATGGGTTGGAGAGCACACTGACAAGAACGGCTAAATAAATCGTTAAATGACAGCCGAGCGTGGGCGGTGGATCGCGTCAGTCAGGATTCAAGTCAGAGAATTCACTCACCAGTCGGCGCGATGAAATATTAAAAAACCTGACCTAGATGACTCGATAAATCCAGATAGGCAGGTGACTATTCTGGCCACTCCTCCCGGCGAACAGATCGCTAAGACGATCATCATCAGGCTTTTTACGTCGTCTGCGTGCCGGCGTACGATAGGAAACCCGGCGAGAGCGTAGCGAATTCCACTACGTGACTCTGGACATGCTTATGAATACGCATTTGCCTTTGTCACGGATAGGTTCGCATGTCCTAGACTAATGAGCCACTCCGCCAAGGTGACGCCATCCGGTACCTAAAGGTACTCGACAAATAGTTGCAGACTCCTCAGATAAGCACAAATCAAATAAATCTGCATGATTAATTCTAGACTGCGCTCAGTAATTTACAACAAAGACAATTACGGGCATTGCAATTGTCTTCGTGTAACTTCGAAAAATAAGATCTCGCATGCAATTTATTTTTAAGTATATAAAAAAAAATTGGATGAACTAGGAGCACATTCCGAATTTTCTCCACAGGCTGCCGACAACGGACATTTTTTACCGGACGGAGTCAATCTCAATTCACATCACCGTGCACGCACGGGGTGAAATCAATCGAATGAACGCTTTTTTTGCACGCCATTCTGCTCTTCTACCGGCCGACTGTGACTCCAGAACGTCTCCCTTTTTCATTCAATAGATCGCGTTGCAGAGGAATTTAAAATTCTCCGCCTTTTCCGTTTAATTTTGAGAGCAATACCCATATTCAAAATAGAAATATAGAGCTTTAACTGAATGCTGCAGACTTACGAAACACTGATAAACGGGCGACAGGAGTAGTTATACGATGAACATCGTGTAACTAGTCCCGTCCCGAACATGGCATTTGAAGATAATTGCCAGCAGTTGCCATAGCAACAACATCCGTAGCCGACGATGCCTCGTGCTATCGTTGCTGGTCGTAAGCACTTCGCCCAGGAAGGCATTTCAGTACAGTTATTCTTATCACCGAAATTTGGGCTTATTACGTCAAAATGATAAGGCTTCGTGGACTTCCGACTCATAAATATCGCCTCCTGGTTTATGACGAAAGCTTATGGATTTCGAATGACACACGGACGGATTAATCTATATGGATACCCAACATCGCAATCACACAGAGACTCGCAGCACTCGAGCCTCGGGATATTGGCCATTCATAAACGCGACGTAAACAACGAGGCGCTAGTATCCAGTACAGTCCTGCGTCTTGCGCAACGTTTCGCGGTGGACGCAAGGAAAACTTGCCTCCGAGCCTACCTCATACAACTAGGTCGTGAGGAGAATGAGGGGGGCATTTCACTCACCCGCAGCCAGACCGTGATTTGGCATGGGCACCGATACGAGACTATAAAATTCAATGCGAAAATAGGTATCGGGAAGCACGATGAATGAGTGAGAAGAGGAAAGGCCTAGCGCGACCGGGAAGGTCGTTCCAAGGGTACAGCGACGGCGCCGCATGGGCATTCAACGCCGAAGCCTGAGCGCCAGCCAATTCTGCCCCTCACTCTAAAGAAACTGGAGTCTGGCTTGGGCCTGCTACGGGGTTGGCGACTTATAAGGCACTCCCCCCCATACATATGCTCACATGGACACACACTCACCCTCTCTCTCTCTCTCTCTCTCCTCTCTCGCGTCCCACCCCCAGCATAACCGAATGGGGCAGAAGACAAAAACATTCCCACCCTTTGCCCATCGTCGCTAATCCCCGATTCAATTCCTAAGGCATGCCGCATGTCATTTGAGACCGGTCGTAGATTGCCACGGTCCACAAGAATATCTGATGGATAGGTGATAAGCCACGTCTGTGTGAATGGCACTAGACTTTGCCTAAGGAGATAGAAGAAAAGCGAAGCAAACAAACAAGCTTTTCTCACCCTGACTTGCGGCAAATGCCGGGGAAGAATTTATCTCGTCTCGCGTTACACATGTCGGGAGGCCCCGGAGTTCCTTCGATCGATATTGGCCGACATGGAGGAGGTTCTGCACACCTCAAATCCTCTCACACCAAACCGACAGAACTGCGTGAATCATTTCCTGGGAGCTCTATTCTAGTCGCGCCAGCAGACCTGGGACACTATTCGACAGAGGGCCATCGTAAGCTCGAAGGCCCGAGAACCTCCTGGATGGGGAGGATCGACTGGGGCCTCCTCGCGCATGCTTTCCTTCCCGCCGCGTAGTCCCTCATGCGCTGCATCTTTCTCTTCCTCCCGCACGGGATATCGGCTTAGAAATCATTCTTCCCCCAATCAGGGGATTGATTTGCTGGTGGAAGGTAAAGTTATCATCAAGTTATCATTAAAGTCATCCAGGTGCTCTGCTCTTACGCTTTGCAAGCATACGAAGGTTAAAACATCTGGAGACGTAGGCATGATAAGTTATCATATACAAGTCCAGAAAGTAGATTGGATTATGGACAAAACTTTTTATTTGGAACCTCCAAAGCAGATTGATCTCTATCGGCAGTAGCACCGAAACAGCTTCGTCAAATCTACACACGTATGCTACCATGCGTCGCTGATTCTCTTCTCACCCCTTCAATCCCAGGCTAATGAGTAGTGTTTTTTTCATTTATTTTTCGACAAGATATGCGATGTTAATACAACGGGCGTATATACTACATAGGAAGTAAGGTGGTACCTGCTTGGCACAGGAACCACAACAAAGCCCAGTCCCTCGGGGCAGGGGCGCCCCTCTGCGGTCCTAGGGAGGCCTGACGTGCAGCCAAAGTCCATGCATGACTGGCACAAAATATTTTCAAGGTGTACTACATCCGCGTCTCCTAGACGTGACACATGGAGTGACTTGTGTGTTATCCCACGCTAAGGCACTCCCCAGGAAAGCAAGTGTCTATCGGAGGAAAAAAAGAACTATCCACCACCCATACTTGAACCTCTGCCTTCCGGGTTTCACTCTGAAGCCCATTCATTCTTACCTTTTCATGGTAATATTCCATCGAGGCCGACTCGCACATTGAAGTAGCATTAAAGAACATGTGCTTCAGCTTATAAGGTACTGGATACCAACTAATTCGTCACAGTGTCAGAACAAGTCACTCAGCGCTTCGATCGTCGCGACAATAGAGACGGAAAGCAAAGAGAAAACTGATTTTATTTTCAAACTCTGGTCTTATATACCACCCACCCCCCCTTTCCCGGGAACCAAAACGGGTAATGGAATGCACACTCCTGAGAAGAAAGGAAAGAAAATTACCATACACAATATCTCAAATATATCGGATCACATTTTCTGCATAAAAAGAAAGACAAAAAATCGTATGCCCTACTTCTGAATTACCAAAACATTCATGAATGGTATTCCTTCCAGTCTTTTCTCGACTGGAAGGGGTCAAGATGACGAATACGTTGACTTCGGATATTGTTTACTGACCCCACTCAACGTCAAATAAAGCATCACATTTCTATGAAAGAAAAATGGCAACATTCTGATCAAAGCAAGACACAAAGCAAATGCACGTTAACACATGAAACTAAATGACAAGATTCGTGACTAATGGGAGAAACTGGCCCAAACTCTCGAGGCAATGATCGCATTCTGATCGTTTGGTAAACTCGTCCAAAATTTGCGAAGAACATTGAATACAAATCTTCTCTTCACTTCCAACGAGCATCTTGGAGGATCAAAGTGGACTTTGGCTGCAATGCAAAATCATCACAGATACACTAAGCGCATGTGCGTTTTCATATGGAAAAGGGGGACAAAATATTCAGGAATGCTCTGCTCCAGGCCATTATCACAAACAACTGCAAGAAGTCAACAAAACCTTATGGACCCAATCCAAGAGATTGGTGCATAAAAAGCAATGGACGTCATGTTGTCAATGGCGGCCACCGTAGAACTTGCGAAACTGGTCATGCATGTCCTCAATGGCGAGAAGCTGCTGGAGCTGTTCCTCGTCGAGAGACAAGTCTTCTGTGGTTGCATTCTTGAGACCAGAATAGAAATAGTATATGTTGTTAGCTTCTTCCTGCGACTTGCGAAGATGAGCGATATGTCTCTCCTGCCGGCGAAGCAAGTCTGGCTGGGAGTTATGTCGTACATGATTCCAACCATGCCTGCTGTTGTAATTGTAGTTATACGAGCAGGAGTAGTTGTAGTTGTACTGGTTTCCTCGATCCTGTTCAAGAGATAGAAGGTATCTATATCACGTGCACTCCAAAGTTACTGTATGTATATATCTCAGCAAACATGACTCATCCAGAACTAGTTCTACAATGAAGGGACCAGTTTTCCTCTCGAAAACTGGGACAAAGAAACCATGAAAAAGAAAGGCCAAGGAAAATTCCTGAAGGACTCGCTTCTCCCCTCATTATACCATAAACGGTTAGAGTGAAACGTACATCTTCGTAGTTGGCATGGATTCCTCGTTCTTCCTGAAATGGAACTTGGTAATTAGGATATACATGCAAGGGAAATACCTGCGGAAAAACAGCGCCCCAAGAGTTATGCATGTTCATCGCCTGTTGTAAGTTGTAAGCCTGGCCGTATTCGTGCCTCAGTTTCTCAATCAGTTCTTCATAGAAGCCATGGTAGGAAGTTTTCCGCCTCTTGTTCGGTGGACAGGAGGAGATCCAATCGGGGTCTCTACTCCAATCGGGGTCTTTGCTCCAATCTATGGCTTTCCTCTTCGTGGCGTGCGTTTTTCCGCGAGCATGAGAGGCAGGGATATCCCGGATCACCGGTTCGATCCCACGTTCCCTCTTACTCAGCAGCAGTCTCTTGCGATAATTGTGGACGGTGAGATTCACGTTCGGATTGGGGATCTCTGTATTCTTCCACAGCTCCCGGACGACCCGGTATCTCTGGTCATCCGTCTCCAGCTTCCGCATAAAGGTCCATTCTGGGTCTTCGTTGTCAGCATTCTCAGCCTGATCACTGCTGATGAAAGGCACGTCATTGGCTAAGGTTTTTCGCTCCTCTGGTTTCTTTTCACTCTTGATCAGCTTGTTTATGACAGGAAGCGGGGGATTGGGCACTCTGAAAAGTTTGCAATCCTGAGGCGTGCGGGGACGATCCTCGACTCCTGTCTTGGGGAAATCCCTTCCAGTTGTCTCGACCCCTGTCTTGGAAGAGTCCTTTTCAGTTGTCTCGACTCCTGTCTTGGGGAAATCCCTTCCAGTTGTCTCGACCCCTGTCTTGGAAGAGTCCTTTTCAGTTGTCTCGACTCCTGTCTTGGGGAAATCCTTGCCAGTTGTCTCGATCCCTGTCTTAGGGGAATCTTTTTCAGCTGTCTCGACCCTAGTCTTGGGGGAATCCTTTTCAGTTACATCACTTGCCTTAATGGCATCCCTTCCGACTGCATCACTTTGGGGAACATAAGGTGGGCCGTACATCTCATCGATCGTGAAATCATATGCAAAATTGCTTTCGTAGAGCATTTCCTTAGAAACATCTTCATTGGGTCCAGTTTCCACGGCCGGTAATGGTAATGATTTCTCTGCAGGATTCCGAAGTCGCTGGGGGCTGAAATATCCCTGGGAGCTATCGGCACTGGAAGTTACGATGACCGGTACCATTGAATTCTGATCAACTTCTGCCAGGGTTACCCTACAGGAATGATGTCCCTCCGAGGGTTTGTAGTTCTCCTTCGCAGGAAGCACTCTCTTTGGTGGTTTCAACTCTGTCAACAGGTTCATGTTCTCGTCTCTAGGGATTGAAACCGTACCTGAAGAGGAGCGTTTCAGAACCTCTGCTACTAAGCCCTTCAGGAATTCGACATCAGTTTCTGGGACGTTTCCATATAACCATTGCTTCATAACCAATTCCATTTTTTTTTGGATGAGCAGTCAATCACACTATGGGAAGGAAATCCCGGTCAGAACGGGTGCAGACCTCATGAACAATTCGTCACTTTCAAATAGCAGATGCACCACATGGACGCTTCGTTCCAAGTCATTGCGATTCCGCGGCAGTCGTGCACTGACCGTGGACTTCTTGCAAACACACTGAAAAATAAAATAAAATAAAAAAATATATACAATTAAGATAAAAGGCTCAGGGTCAAAGTGCCAAGACTTTCTTTAAAAGGGTATGGAGAAACGTAAACAGTCCAAATATTGGCTATTTAAGGTCCCAGCGTCCACCAGAGCAAAAGTCACTCTTTTTGTCGAGACTCCGTCTAGTTTCTCCTCTAGTCTCCTCGACATGAGTAAGTAACCGAGCAACTAAACATAGAACTAAGTAGAGTCTAAGCTACTTGAAGAAAGTTAATAATACTAAGTGGACGGGAAAAAAAAAAATCGATCAAGAGCGAAACAGGTCCATACCAGCTTATTTTTTAAACTGCAGTTGCAGGTCTACCAGAGGAGGAGGAGGAAAAGGGGGGGAGGGGGGGCTCGTCAGCGGAGGAAAAAGAGGCTCGGCCTCCCCCAACTATTTGTGTTACGTCTCTCAGAACCATTTATTGGATTCATTCTCTATTGATTTAAAAGAAGCAAAACCCGGTCTCTGTAGTTGAGACCTGCCCATAATCACGGGGGAAGGCCAGTAAGCAACCAACGCATAGGGGTGTCCCGTAACACGTAATGCTGCAGTATAGGCTACCACAAAATCTTAGGTCCCACCCGCCCCTTCATTAGCATAACTGTGTTATGGTGATGCATAACACTTCCGAATCAAGTGTTAAAATCTACAATTACGGCCTAGAAATCTCAGTGTCAAATGAGATCACCACCAACCTAAATGACAGCTTCACGGTAATCAGGTCCCTAGCTGCAAAGTCCTCACCACTCAGCACCATCTGACAAACGATAACATGGGTAGCCTTATAACATGCCTTAGCAACTGAGAATGACGAGAGAAATCCTCTCATTGCAAGGTCTGTGAAAACATGGGTTAAAAGTTGAAAGATCGAGAATGACGATCTGATGCTCCAGGCCCTCTTGGGAAGCAGTTTTCCTGTGATCGCCTTTTAGAATATGTTGCAACAGCTCTAAAACTCCCGAACTTGATTCCGAATTACATCTGAATCAATTGCAATCCTAGCCATCTCGCCTTGAAGTCACCATCCAGGCTGGTGTTGGGCGCACAAAATACCATTAAGTGAATAAAATAGCCCTTTTTTCTTCATCACACAGTCCTGCCATTGAGGGGAGCTAAGGATTCGTGGCACCCTGTATATACAACGGGAAGCCCGGTCTCACCCGTTTGCACTGGCGAGTACTTGCCTAGCATGCGCTCGCACAGCCAGTTAGTATCTACGCAGGTGCCATGAATGGAAAAGTCATAAATACATCCTACATAAATCATGATCATCACCATGATACTCGTTAAGTGCGCTAGATGCGATTCTTTGATGAAGTTCTGAAGCTCACGGCGTCACTCCAATACTTCCCACCTCGAGCCGGATGTACTTCTACTCACTTCCCATTCATTATAAACTCCCAATATGGCGTGGCTTCTCAACCATCCTTTTTTGCCACCTGCCATTCTAGAACAGCTACTCATCTAACAAGACAGGCCTAAGCACATCTTTTGTCCTGCGTTCACGCTCGCATTAATGCATTAATGGCGCATTGAATGCTTGTTCATTGTGAAGACCAAGAACTGCCCTCCCCAGATTTTTCACTCACGAGGTACAGAGATCTACGATCTGCACTATAAAGCAACATAACTCATTATGGCAAAAGGGGTGCAAAAGTCGACTGATGAAACAAGAATGTATGACAGCAGTTGAGTGACCGCGGTAGGATGTGATTCGAACGACTGGTTCATATGTAACGGTTATGACGAGTACCATGATGCCTGGGGGAACGAAGAAAATGTTGATACTAGTCTATGACACAATGGGCATGATATTATTTTGGAATGAGTGGAACGGACGGATGCTCCCGACTGCAGTCAACCCTACTACAATTTCACTACACTAGGATGCGTTAGAACCGGTGGGTAGATCGCACCATTCTTTTCTTATGGGAGTAGAGGGAATAAGATGGCTCTGATGATCCTACAACCGAGAACTTCCAGCAGTACATCAGTGTACGTGCGCTAATAAACTGAACACGTCATCGTTGGGAGACAAGAATGTGAGGCAACAGAGTAATGGCATACGAAGAACTCCTTCACAGCTCCTTCACAGCCACAGCCTCACTACAGCATATAATTTTATTTTCCCCAAGATGGGAGAATTAACTTGTTCGCTGCATGCGCACATGGATGAATACTATCTGCATCAAGATTAATTGCATCTAAGTTGGAAGCCATGACAAGAATATCCAGCATAGGCGAACCAAGTTTCTTGGGTTGAGAGGTCAACCGTTGACCACTCCCCAACTTACCCTCTTCCCCTCCAAAGATTTAGAGAAAATTAGCGAAGGTCTCCTTTTCCTCGGAACCTTCAGGTGGAGTTTTAGCCTTCTCAAAAAGATGAGAGCTACGGTGAAATTGTTTCATAGATGCCGCATAGCGTCTCCCCAACCCTCAACCTCGTGTGCTTCTCGCATGGTCTGAAGCATGGTCGCATGGTCTGTGCACGTTGAGGGGGTGGGCCGATGGCGACCCTTACCGCACCCTTACCTTCAGGGCTCACTCCATTTCCAAAAATCAATAAAACAGGTTTCTCGTGTTACAGTATTAAGGGGGACGCGCTTCTCATTCTCTAACTCCCAGGCCACATTCCACATCCTGTCATTTCGATCGCCTCCTTCGAAACATATGAAGCCGCCTCAAACTCTCATGTTGATGTTCGAAAATGAAAAAAAAAGAGGCAAATTTGGTGCATAACGCTCCCATTCTCTTTAGTAGTTACTGGTATATGGTATTTGATGCATGCAACTCATGCAGTGACTGGAAAGGGTATGGGAATAAAAAAAAATATAGAAAAATTATCAATCGACACATCTCTCATTATGATAAAAGAGACGAGCAGTGTTGGGAAGAAAAGGGAACGAGTTTATAACTTCCTTTGAGGTCGTTGATCATGCATGCATTTTTCTTTTATACGGTATTCTGACAGGCTAGACCCACTTCATCCCTCATTTCCTATAAAAGGCGTGTCTCATCATGCCTTGTAGCACCTATCGTTTCACGTCCACCAACATTTTAATCTTTATTTTCTTATCAGCGTCAGTGCTTTGTCATCCTGTGCGTTTTACGGTAATGAATTAGCTTCTCGAATTACAAATGAAATCAACTATAGTACTGTTTTTTCATTTTGCGTCTGACAGGTTTTCACTTAACTCCAATATACACGCTTGAAAAATACTTTACGCGTGGAGTTGGAGTAGAGAGAAATAATATGGCAATTACAAGTCTGGCTCATAAACTGGTAGTGCTTTCACAATCTCGGATGGAAGACGAATCATGGCTCGATCGTATCTTTATCGCGTAAGTGCTGATCAAGAACCTGATCTCACAGGATCATCTTGCTTGTTTTCTCTGGAAAAATCATCCCTCTTGATACCCAATCGAGGCAGTCAATCGAATAGCTCAACAAAAAATACACTCAGTGGATAAGGGTGGGACTCATATTGACATGAGAATTAGGAAAATTTTCAGTATTTACTAGTTGCTGCAAACTAAAATTGCTCACGATGAAGTACATTATAGAAATTGGGCAAGAAATTGATGGAGGAGACATGATTTCCCTATTTATAAAAACCATTCGAGGTGCACCATGGCTAGTGAGTGATGCATGGATAGAAATTATTTCTAATAATAAAAAATTTAGATGGGGAGAGCGGGAGAGACAGAACAATCAGAGACTTGCCCTTGACCCTTTCTATTCCAGTTTGTTTTTCGCTGGCGAAAAACGGCAGGAGTCGGCTATTGGTACGCTGTATAAAGAAAGGGACGGGTCTTTTGCGCATCAACGTACGAGGAGATATCTGTCCTTGAATATGACACCGAATTCAATATGATACCGAATCGGGTATAAGGGTATCGGATATATACTACCGAACAGGTAGTATGTAAAAAAAAAAATTATTTAGAGCACCCCCAATAGACCATCCCGGGCCACCCGCCAAACTATCCCGTGTCCCGAGCTGTCCACTTGAGTAAATATATTGCGGAAGGTGAATACTAGGCTGAAACTAACCTCAAAAGACAACATTGGTTCCGTTATTTCAATGAACCATTATTAAAATCAAATTCGGCGTCTCTTCGGCAATTTCATGAACGACCCTGCGCGAGAGATTCAGAGCAGTGCATGACTCTATTTAGGAGAGCCACTCACAGACGAGCTTCCAGCCCCAGTTAGTTGCGGTGACTCTCAACATTTTGTTTCCCCTCTCGTCGTTCCTTTATTTTATGAGACACACAGTTGAAACTTAGAGTATACATCTCACTGTACTTTCCAGTCATGCTTATGCCTAATGAGGCTTATAATGTACAATGTCCCATAAAAGAGATTTCCGCCATCATGGCATCCGACATTTTTGCCAGATTTTACTGGGGAAAACCGGGTAAGGGTTAAGGTCTCGACCTTCCAGGGTGACTGGCTAATAGCGGCGAGAAAGGGTCGGACCTCACTTCACTTCTTTCTTGGGGACTAGATTCAAGTTTGCCACCTGGTTTTGGGAAGTGCAACCAGACCCTTCATAATGAGCTCTATAGCGCACAAGTTTTGCACGATTTGCATGAAAATGCTCAATAAAGGAAAAGCTACCGGGTATATTGGCTTGCATTCAAAATTTCTCTGGAATGATCGAGCGGTTTTTGGATCGATCGGGCCCTTTTCGAGATACTGTAGCAACAAGACCTTGCTGATGTACTAAGTACAACACTAACGGGAAGAAACTCGAAGAGTGCAATTCATTGCTGTTTTTCAGAAGAAAGTAACGAGTGACGCAAACTAAAACTAGCTCCTTTTAAAAAGTAACGCGCCAATTCCTGGTCACTGCCAATCAATGGTGTTAAGCAAGTTCTATTGCGTTTGAAAGATACCGAATAATACCCCATTCCACTTTTTTTCAAAGTAAAAATCTAGATACTTCGTGCTACTACTTATGGGTAGGGCACTACCGTGCTTCCACTGGTTAAGGGAGAAATCCGTCGCGCGAGCGGGGGACTCAACAGCGGATTCCTTGGCACTCACTGTGAATTGCTGTAGTAGTATCGTATCCGATATATAACCAAAGCAAGTACTGTACATAGCAAGCCGAACTTTCGCATTTTAGTGCTAGCCTGCACGTTTCGTCAGTCCATGATGGAATGTTTTATATTACGTGATTTTTTATTAATTATTATACTGAAATAATGCAGTGGTTTGAAATCTCTCCTGTGGCCTGCGGAGACCCTCGCCTTACATCTTCTGAAAAAACCAGGGAGCAAGAACGAAGATCGCTCTCTAATCG